TACAGCTAATCTAAGTATTGCTATAGCAGAACCAATACTTGCAGTCAGGGCTGACCATTAAACTGCTATGCCCTTGTAAAGTTTATTTAGACCCTAGCATCTACTTCATAGCATAATTCTGATACTTTAGTATACTCCTGCCTTTTCACCTGCCTTTTCACCTGCCTTTTCACCTGTCTTTTTACAAAACTCTCAATTCAGATAGCCTGTATAGATCTATGACCAGTCTATTGGTATATCAGATTAGTCCAATATTCTTTTTCTCTAATTTATTCTGACAGCCTGGTTGGTGGTACTCTTGAAACTTCCAACCCAGAGGTTCTTGCCCATTCAGCTATTATGACTAGGTACTATGACCTTGATATTTATTTCTTCAGGTTAGCCTTTATAGTAGGACCATTAAAGATCCAGCTACCTTTCTACTTGAGTCTTTCCAAATGAACTTCTTGTTATCTAATTTCAGCAGATTTATATAGCTACAAGGACTTATCTAGTGTTTGCACTACCCGATTTGTTGGTTTGCATTCTTCTGTATAATGCCATACTTATACAGATGCCTTATGACCTACCAGTCATGCTAGTATGACTACCATTACAGATATCCTAACTCAATCATTAGTAATAGTTGATATAATACAAATATTACATAGGTGATTATCCAAATTTTTATTATTGATAGGATTTGAACATCCAACCTACCACTTGAAGGGTTGACAACCTAACCACTTCACTAGGTTGCCACACCCCATATTAGTATTTTATTAAGATTTTGAAATTACATTTGTAATTATATAAATCTCTTTAATATCTAAGTCTAGCATTATCTAGCCACCTTAATGATATCTAAGTGCAATCTGCTGCATTAATTTAAACAGAAGTAAGCTACTTGTTTGACTACTTAAAGTCTATAATAGAAAGGTTTTCTTTTTTTCATGACAAGCCTCAATATTGTCTTTGTTACTTTTTTCTTAATTTGTTTTCTTTTTTTTCTTAATTTTTTTTTCTGCTAATTTGTCTTCTCTTTTTTATTTATTTCTTTAGCTTTTCTTCTCTTTCTCTTTTAATTCTATTTATTATTCCAGTTTTTTTACTTATTTATAAATTTTTTCATATCATATTCTTTATACTTGTTTATAAAATATATCCTAGACTGTTATTACTATTATATTTACAAATTACTATCTTTATTTTATGTTTAAGAGCTGTATAAACTGTTTTGTATTTCTTTTAGAATTAGGCCTTTAATTAATGCTTTTCTTATTTTATTTTTTCTATTTCTGTTTTTTCAAAGAAAACTGTATATAACACATATAAAAGAATCCAAATTTTTTTTCTTCTTTCAGTTTCTTCTATGCTATTGTAATAGTCACTTTTTGGATTCTCTTTTAGAATTTTTTGCCATTTGCATATTGCCAAGTGTGTTTGTATTTCTTTTACTTTGTCTTGACATACTTGGCATTTTGTTGTTATATATATATATGGCCTTTTTAGTTGAGTTCTTCTAAGATTAGAAACTTATCTATTATATACTTAATAAATATACTTTTTTTGAAACAGTTTTTTTTTGTTATACAATATATTTCCTTAATCATCTTTAGTTTTTTTAAAAATAAGTTCAATTATAAATTATAATTTTATTTTTAATTCTAAATCTTTAGCTGCTATTGTTTTTTTTCATTTTGCTTTTAGTTTTATATTTATTACTAACTTACAAAGCAGTCTTGTTGATATGTCAGTTTGTCTATTTTCTTATTCTAGACAGTACTTTATCTTTTTACAACTGACTTCTTCAATCTGTATTTTCTTCTTACTTATTGTTTCTTTTTTCACTAGGCTATTAGCTTTATTATTCTATTTATTTTTGTTATAACTTTTTATTTTAACTAATTTTATCTAAATATTTTTTGTTTTAATAAGATCTTTAATCTTTATTATTTATATTGCATTCTTTTTTTTAATAATCTTATTTCTGTCTATCTGCTCTAAACTTTTACTAATATTTCTTATTGCAGCATTACTATCTGTATATATCTCTATTTGCTTCTTTTTTAATATTACTAAAATTGTTATTCAAGTTGCTATTAACTCTATTGTTATCAATGTCTGTCATTCTTCTAATTTAAGTGTTACCTCTTCTTCTGGCCTTTTTGTGTTTTATTTGTTTAAACCCAACCTATACTCATATTATTTTTAGATACTAATTCTTTATTAGTTTTCATATTAGCTGTCTTATCTGTGTATATTGTATATTTGTTCTTGTTTCTTATAATAGTTCTTCTTAAAACTTCTATTATTTCTTGACTGATATTTTTCTTTAGTTTCTGTTATTTAATAATTTCTATCTTTAGCTTTTTTATTATTATAAAACCTTTAAGCTTTTACTCTTTAATTTCTGATCTGTCTATTTCTGTCTTGTTTGTTATTTGATTTATTGCTATTTTAATTTGATTGCTATCTTTCTTTATTAATGTATTTAGAATTATATTAATATTTCTGTTTATTTTTATTTATTACTAACAACTATTTTCTATTTGTTCTTTTTTTTTATGCACCCTTTATATTTATTAATCTTAGTTATTAAATTATTTTTTTTGCTTTATATTTGTCAGTGTTTAATTAATTTTTTTTTTTTTTTTTAATCATTTTTTTTAGTTGTCTGTTATTTTGTGTATTATATATTACTTATTTTTTCTTTTTCTATCTTCTGATATATGTTCTTATTTAACTTATATTAATTGGATATTTTGTTTACTTGTTCTAAAGTGTTTTCATATTTTTCTATTTTCTAGATTACTGAGCACTTTTGATTTGACTGCTTTGAACTATTCAGCTTTTTTTCTTCTACTTAATTGGTCTTAATAGGTTTTTAGTTGCTGTTATATGATCAGCTTTTCTTTTTTTATATTGAGCAGCTAATTTAAATATATTAGATCTGCTTTATTTATTTTAACTGCTCCTTTTTTTTACAAATATATGTCTATTAGCTCTTATATTCTAGTATTATATCTAAATATTGTTTATAGTTTACTTTCTGTTCTTATATTTATTTTTAATTTTCTTGCCTAAAATATACTAAGTTATTCTTCAAATATGTTTTGATTTTTAAGATCTTCTTTGTCTTCTATATATCTTCTACTAAACCTACTCTTTGACAGTCTTGTTTTATTCTCAGTTTTGTTAGCTATCCAAGATTGTCTTGTCTATTTAGTCTTGCTAAAAGATCATCTACTTGCTTCATAATTAATTCTTGTTATAATGTTCTATAGCTACTAAGATCTTTGTATTCTATTATATAGTTTTCTATTGTCTTTACAAGTTGCTCTTTTGTTTTGTCAGACTTATTGTTAGTTGGTATATTTTATTTAAACTTCTGTCTGACAACTTTATTAGTTGTAATATATAACTTAATTTGGATATTATTATCATATTGTTATATATGCAATTTGACTCATTATCATTTTTTTGTGCTTCAGATCTCTTATAGTTTAACTTATTAACTTTTATAATAAAAGATTTTCTTTATACCAAATAAGCTTTCTTAAATTTTTAACAAATATTATAGATCAAATTATTTTAGTTCTAATAGTAATAGAATTATTCAAATTGAATTAATAGATTGCAAGTTATTAACATTTTTTTTATTATAATTATATTACTTTTACCTATTATCAGAAACTTTTATCATTCTAATATTATATAAAAATATAGTCAGATTTTGATATAATAACCAGGTTGGTAACCAAAATTCAATGTGATTAAAATGATAAGACTTATATAGAAAGTAATTTTTTTATGCTTTATAATGATTGTTAAAATAAAAATAAAATTATTTTTATACTTTGTGACTATATCAAGAATGTTATATTGAGGTCTAACTATAATAATAATTTTCTATCTTAAAAAATTTAAAAATAAATATATATCTTATTAATTTAATTATTGTTATTTTAAAAAAATGTAATGACTTAGTAAAGTGAATAAGTTGTTAACTTCCCAAATAGTAGATAATGAGTTCAAAATCCATTGATAGTAAAAATTTGAATAATCATCTATATAATATATAAATGATATTATAATGATAGCATTTTGTTGATCAGTTAAGATAAGATACCTGTAACACAATCATACCAATATGACTAACAGGTTATAAAACATCTGCACAATATTAAAATTATATAGAAGAATACAAACTGACATTAGGTAGTGCAAACCTAAGATAAGTCCTCATAGCTGTATAAATTTATAAACTAAAAAGTCAAAACCCATTTAAAAAGATCTGAATAAAAAGATAGTACAAATTTTTGACAGTACTATTATAAAGGCTAGAACTAGGAAATGGATACCAATATGAAAGAAATTGGATAAACAAGAATCTTGGGTATGAGTTATTACTAATCAGACTACCAAAAATCTCAAACTAGAGAAAAAAGATTTTAGGAGACAGACTTTAAAATATTAGAAACAGGTTATAGTCCTTCTAAGCTATCTGAATTGGGAGTCTAAAATCAGAAACAGATATATACTATAAGTATTAGGGATATACTATGAAGTCAATGCTAGGGTCTAGATGAACTTTGCAAAGATGAGTCTTGTTAACAAGAAATTAAATATGGGTAGTTAGTTAGTAGAAGATCCTTCTGGAGTTTTACAGTCAAGTGACATGTTTTGAAATATATAATGGCTTGACAGATGTGCAGACAGGAAGATCAAGATTAGGTTAGATGACATTTTAGTGTATGGAAACTTGTGTGCTATTTGTCACTATAAGTATAAGGATCAGAGTGTTTAAATAAGTAATCTTCTAGTAGATTGTAGATATGATAGCTAGTGTAGAACCTGCTATGTAGGTGGAATACTTAAAATAGACAACCAAAAATTGTACATGTGACTAGTTGTAGACTCACCTTGTACAAGTTGTGTAACTATAATTAAAATACAATAAAGGCAATAATCACCAATAACTATGACCTTAGCGAAAACAAAAAAAATAATAATAATTATTACTATTTTCAAAATGGTTGAAAATGACAAATAAAATTTTTTTTTTGACATACACTTGTATACTCATACACTTGTACATTTAATTACCTGACATAAAGTCGGCATCGATGTGCCAAGGTAATCTAGTGTATGAGTGTATCGGGTATACGCTAAAAAAAAATTTATTTGCCATATAAACCATTTCGTAAACAGCAATAATTTAAAAATATTATTAATTCTAGAGAACTGTGGATTTTCATAATGTTAGTCACTATGGTGCGAATAGTAATTCCCTAATTATATTATGTTAATTATGTTACTAATTAATAAATTACTTTTTGTTTAAAGAAAATAGAGGATGTACAGATCTAGCAAAATCTCTAAAGAACACGGCATTCCTGAACATGAATTTAAACAATAAATGTAATTTTCTAACTGTTGCTTAATATTTGACATGCATCATCTAAAAATTTGATTTTTTTTTTTTATAAAATAAATATCATTAATAAAAAGACTACAAAAAATTATCAGTCTTGTGTAGAGATGCAGGCGAATCGTCACAATGATGCCGTAACTATATTAAACAATTATAAAAAATACGGCACACTCGCTGAACTTTTTATATAGTTATGGCACATTACGGCAAAGTTACGGCATCATTGGGACGATTCGCCTGTATCTCTAGTCTTGTGATATCCAAGCTAATCTGATCATTTGGACAGACAGAACTTAAAACATAAAAATTTGCAAGAAATCTTTTTGTTAGAAGCCAAAAGTAGTTCAGTGTATATATATTAGTGTACAATTGGTATTGGGCTTTATAATATTGATTTTTTTAGATTAAAAATCTGATAAGGGTAACCAATTTTAGAGATTGCAACCGTTCTTCGTTTAACCGCCTAACCGTTTATTTATATTATACGGTTAAACGAGTAATATATGGGTCACTGCGTAACGTTATGAGTATTCGGGGATTTTTGATCACATTTTGATAATTTATTGGACCATATTCTTGAGTAGATACTCTACTCTTAACGCAAGTTTTTTATATAATATTATACTATAATTCTCGTTTAAAGTTTTCAAGAATCTATGTTTGTCAATTATTAAAATTGATTGAACATCGATATTTCAATTTAAAAAATTTGGCCCGAATACTCATAACGTTACGTAGTAACCCATATAATTATTGGATGCGAAGCAGCGAATAAAAAATTTTATAACCGATTAAAAACCGTTAAATTATTCGCTAACCGTTTTTAAATCTTATACGATTAATTGTTTAATTATCATTTAATTATCATTTAATGCCTTATGTGAAGGCAAACAAATATATGCATGGTAGATACAGTACATATCTATATCATAAAGATTATTAATCGAATTTATTCACAGGGCAAATGTAAACCATAGTAAATTTCGTTTGGTTTGTCTTTATTTAATAAAATCTTTCAAGATTAATTTTTAAAACAAAATTTTGGTCCTAATTTTTTATTATCCAATTTGAGGCCCACCATTAAAACAATAAAAAGAACTAATTCTGTATCTAATTGAACTTAAGATGAATACATTTAAAACGTAAAACATATATATAATATATATTAAAATATTAAAATTATTCCGTCTCTCCATCATTATTATCACCATTTTGATTTTCACCTTGTTTATCATCTTGACTATCCTCTTGACTATCCTCTTGACTATTATCTTGACTATCATCTTGACTATCATCTTGACCATCATCTTGACCATCATCTTGACCATCATCTTGACCATCATCTTGACTATCTTCAACTTGACTATCATCACTTTGACCATGTTCACCACCACAATCAGAATTTTTTGGCCAATCACATTGGCATTTTTTCGAATTCCATTGCAAATCAGCAGGGCAATACTTCAGATATGGAGTATTGTAAGAGCACTGATAGAATGAACCGCAATCGTTTGGATTAGCGTAAAGTTCATTAGGGTTGTCATCAGTTTTCTCTGGACACTCAAATCCTAAATCAAAATTTCAAAAAAATAATTAGTTGGTTAAGACTTAAATTATTAAAATATACCGATACTACTAAAAAAATAATGATCGTCCTTACCATCACCGAAAGCGGAAATAGTGTATAGTGACATTGTAGTCAACAAGATGATTATGGGTTTTCTAATTAATTTCATTTTGTTTAGGAATTTATTATTTAATTATAAAAGATTGTATTATATTCTATGGTTTTGAAAAATTCTTTTTTTGAAAATATAAAGTTTTCAATTTTTTAATTCTCAATACAAAACAGATAGGTCTTATTTATAATTTCATCGAAAAAGAAAATCCAATATTTTTTTCGATTTTTATTTTAATACCATAATCGGAAATTGTTAATTATGCATGCAAAAAATAATTCTATTTATATCTTTGCATTGATTTATCCACGAAAATCTGGACTTTTAAATTGAAAATACCATAATTGGAAGTTCTTAATTATGAAATTAAATTATCAACAAATTATTTGTTTTTCCTTGCATTAATTTATTACCTAACAATGAAACAGAAAGCCTTTTCTATTTACAAATAAAGTTTTGAAAAGAAATATGCTTCTCTTAAGCATATTTAATGCACCTATTAGAAGTGCATCTACGAGAAGCCCGTCTATAAGACGGTGCATTAACACTAAATTGTGAAGAATAAATATTTTTTGTACAATCATTTTGAAATTCGTGAAACTTCTAAAGTGTATCGTGATTAGGGTTCTGCAAGTCCTGGCACGTACTATTAAAAATAGTGCCAGCACCTGTGCCTGGCACTATGTTTTAATAGTGCCCGTGCCTGGCATTTGCAGAACCTAATCACGATGCATCATAGAATGCTGAGTTGGAAATTCAAAATGCTGACCATTTATAATTCTGACTATTTATTATTATTTTTTTTTTAGACACAGATACGCTATACTTGCTCATTAAATAGTCTAGATTTAAATTTTCAACATAACTTGATTATTATTAAGAACAGATAATAGCAATTTGAATAAATGTCTTAAATGATCTGATTATTCTAATATAACAGTTGCACCAAATCCTTCTAAAGTCTTTTTGATCTTTTCAGCTTCTTCTTTGGTAACATTTTCTTTAATGGTCTTAGGTACACTTTCAACAAATTTTTTGGCCTATAAAAAAAAATTAATAATGCGTGAAAAATTAATAATGCATGGAAAATTAATAACGCATGAAAATTAATAAATTGTTAAAAAATTATTAATGTATAAAAAATTAATGATGCATGAAAAATTAATAATGTATTAAAAATTAATACGTAATGCAAGAAAAAAATTAATAATATATAACCAATTAAATCATGTGTAAAAAATTAATCATGTATTAAAATTGATATATCAACAAAGGTATGCATACCTCAACAAGGTTTGTACCCGGTAAAATATTCTTCATTTCACGAATTATCTTTGTCTTGGCATCTGCATTATATTTTTCCAGTTTTACAGTAAATGCAGTCTTTTCGGGTGCCTTCGCCTCCTATATATGAAATTACAAACAATATGTCTAAAATCAATTGTATATAGATCGTCTAAGCATTATTGAAACATACTTCAACTGGAGTGGTAGCTTCGCTTGCTGGAACCGCGACATTGGCAACGTTGCTAACAGTGGGTAAAGCCACGTCTTGAATATTCAAGCGAGTCTTCATTATGATACAAAAATAAAAACAAACATTTTTTAATGCACTGTATTAACATGATTTAAAATAATACTAAAAGAAAATTACTTTTAACGATTGCACAAGTTCAGCAGTTTCAATTAAAGTCAACGAAGAAATTTGGTCGACAATACTTGTGATTCGAGCATTGGTCACCTCTTTATTTGGTGATGGAAGTGTAGTTGTTGAGCGAAGTCCCTTGCGAAAGATGAAACCCCTGACGAAACTTCTGCGAAGGACGAGACTCCCCGGTGAGAAAACGAACATCAATAAAAAACGAATTATAAGAAAAATAAAACGGCTATATATGCAGTTAGTAGGCAAACCCGGTAAATTAAAATGAAATAATCTTAAATTTCATCGTGGCTGTTAGTGTGGTTTAATAAAAACAATGGCTTTTTTTTTATTTATACTAGTATATGACCCGTTAATTGCATTAACAGGTTTTTAACAGTCTAACTAGAGGAGAGGCCGTCCCAAATTAAAGCGGGGCAGATCAATCGACAGTCGTTGAATGATTATCTATTTGATAAACAAAAAAATTTTTATCATAATCATGTGTTTGAATAATTAACCAATAAAATTAAGGGACATCCAAACCATGTGATAATTAGTATAGCGTTAGTCTAGCCTAGATGATGACTAGTTTAAAATTTTAATTTATAGGTAAGGACTTAGACCCCCGGTCTATTTTAAAATGAATTTAAAACAAGTGATGATTAATCACGGCTAATTAGAAATTTTGTCAATTTGAATCACTATATACTACCAACATTCTGTTTTAGTTACTTGACCATTAGAACATATCTAATTCATAGTCAATAACAAAAAGCAGAGGTACTTAGTGTAGTATTTATGAAATTTTGATCAATTAGTATTAGTGTTCTTATTTGACTCCGGATTTTGAACCTTGTTAGTGGTGCAGGTTATCGTAACTTAATTACGAGAGTACGTAGTACGTCCTGCAATTGATTCGTGATTAATGACGTAATTAAACCGTCACTAGCTTTGGTATAAAAAGCTCGCGCAAATAAATGAATGCACACTAATTGTTTAATTCGATATAAAATGTACAAGGAATCGTTTCGTTAAATTAATAGTTATCTGTTAAGTTAGTTTCGTCACCTCTAATCGGTTTTATCTCATCATTTTGTCATTTAAATTTTGATTGATGAAAGAAGAAACTAGGTTTCGCGCGAAACCTCCCAGTTTGTCTAACAACTATATAGATGGAATTCAGCGGGAGCTGTTTCAGTGGCATAATAAGTTGATTTTTAAACCGGTGAGCTAGAAGTTAAAATAAAGACAACTAGTAGAAATCAATCGTGTCATCCATTCTTATGAATCATTATAAAAATTTTAAGCTTGTTATCAGAAAGCAGAATTGTGACTGTAATATCAAAGCAAAGATGAAGAGAAAGTGCATAAAAATCGAGGAACACCCATCTTTATGCCACTAATGCCATAAACTTTTAAAACAAAGTTCTAAAATCTAATCTTAATTTCACATCTATGATTGTACAACCCTTTTCAAGGATACAATGCATTGAGTTGTTTATTTATATCCCACGCTATATGTAATAGTTCTAGCATAAACCATCTGTCCATTAAACATCCTTCTTTATTGACCTTGAGTTAAAAATGTCAGCAAATTCAACCAAGGTTTTTGAAGATAATTCTTTTTTGCCAATTGTTTATGAAGCCAACTTTACCGTTGCTTTAGGTAATTTTTACAAGATACAAATGAGTTGCATGATGTTGCATAATGATATCTGTTTTTTTTTTTTTAATAGAAATTTTCGAAGAATTTGAAGCTTGGCTACAGGAATACCTTAGCGCCACTTTAAACACCAAACCTGGTTTTCGTGACGCTGAAGTGTTTCAGCGTGACCCACGAAATGACGGTGGAGACCCTGAAGTTAAGAATCCCGATCGAGTTCATAAATATATTACTGTGCTCTTTGAAATAGACAATAAAGAGAGTATTGATCGTTATTTAAATGAAGAGGTAATGCAATATTAATTACAAAGTTCAATTGTGCCCTAGCAAATTATTTGCATATTTTACGATTTTTATGGAATCAAAGTTTACTCTAGTATATTCAACGATTTTTATGATCTAGTAGATATGTAATAGTTATTAATCTAATCATGTTGATTGTTATTAATCTAATCATGTTGATTTTTATTTGCCTAGTCTTCTAAAATCAAAGAAGCATTGGAATCCAAATTTAGTGCCAAGAATTCGTTGGTGATTACTTCACATCGTATTCTATACCCTGTTTCGCTATGGGCCAAAAGAAAAAGCTTAGAAAGATCGGTTTGAATAATTCGTTTTATTATTTTATAAGCTTTTGTCTATAATGAGTATTTTACATATTAAATAGCATATAGTTATTTATTTTGCTATTTCAAATATGGTGCATATATCAAATGAACGCATATATATATAGATATATTTTCGGCCTTTTAATTGGTTTTTTTTTAAAGACATATGATATCTAACAAAAGCATTTGAATTTTAAGCAAGCCTCTGAAATGTTGGAGCTCAAATAACCAAATAATATGGAATAAAATATTTATTTAAAAGGATCAAAGCTTAATGTCCAATATTTAAAATTATAATTAAAGTTTGATAACGCGCATAGAATTTCTTTTGCAATTGTAATAACGTTTTCTTGAGACCGACGCTAGTGCAGTTCGACATCATTGATATATTAATACAAGAGAATAAATTTTCTCTATAAAAAAAAACTATAATCGTTTTAGATATAATATTTTTTTTTAAAAAAAATTCTTCGATCTTTTAATAAATATTCTAAAAATCTGGTTTACCTGGCTTATATTCAGATTGTAAATGCTAAGTTAATATCCAGGAAAATTAACGTATGTTACCTAATCTTTCGATTTAGTTACCTACCTTAATTTCATTGGCCAATCAAACTTCAGGATCGCATGTGATGATTATTATAACTTAATGTTACGTAGTAGGGTTTGAAATTTTTAGGATGACGCCAGGGTGTTTCATTCCCGAAAAGTGGTCGTAACGAAGCTCGCCTATCACTATGTTTGTCCTTTTAATACCCATAGTGAACCCGTATTTTTAATATAATATCAAGGTTTTTCAGTCTTAAAAATTAATCATAAAATTGGTCAAAGATTACGTCGGAAATTTTCGTTAACGAATATACTATATTTGCGCCCACCAGAGAAAACTAATATATAATATTTCATCCAAGATTTTTTTAGAAAGAGAATTATGATTCGCATTCGGCTACCCATGAGCGCAAATATAGTATGCTAGAACGGTCGTCTGGATTTTTGGGAAAAGGTATGGCAACTTATCAGTGTTTAGGTAATAGCAGTTTCAAATATTTATTTAACAGTTAAGGATAATAAATTTACGCTGTAACTATCATTATGACACAATATTGTGTAATTGTGTAATAGATTAAAAAAAAAAATTACATAATTGATAATTTTTTAATAATACGTACGTAATAACCTTCAATTTCTTGTATAATTTTAAAGGTGAAAAGGAAGCCAGTACATCTAAATATAGTGATAGAAACGGGAATACGTATATGCTTTTAAAATTATTAGTCTGGATCGGATTTTTTTCTGAGTTATACGAAAGTCTACATTTTCTGATAATCTCAATTTATCGGTATTATCTTAATTAACGAAATGTCAAAAACCTGTCTTTTTTCATATATGGTATTTAAATGTTTAGCTATATCGATATCGATATATAATTACTTTCAAATTTAGTTTGATTACGTACTTGTCATACAAAGTTGTACTACGTATTACAGTTTCTAAACAATATCGATATGCCATGCGTAGTACAGTAAGATTTCTATGGTTACTTGTTTTCGATTTATTGTCAACTTGAAGTCCTCCCATTGATTATACCAAGTCCATTTGGGTAATTAGAAGGGAGCCATCAATCTTTCCTTTAAATTATACTTCAAGAACAGCATTTTTCAAACCAAGAGGAGCCAGTGAATGCCGCAATGCCAAATGGTTGGTGGTCAGCAGTCAATCCAAAATCGGACTCCGTCACCACAAATTGTGAGATCATGTCCAACATTCCTTTCATTTATTGAAGGTTATTCTAACAAATTATAAAGAACTTGGTTTTCTTATGTTTTTATGACCTTAATTAACAGGCAAAGCGTTCATATACTTATGATGCCGTCATGCGGTACCACTCCATTTTATTTAATAGTACTTACGAATTTATAATGTTTATATTAATTTAGATTAAATTCTTCGATTTAAAAACAGATTAAATAATATCGAAAGTTGTTTAATTGATATGAAAAAGTCGCGGGACGAAGTGATAACAAATATTGATCAAGTTTTAGAACGGGAGAAGACAAAGCTTATTTTGGTAATTTCTTTCTTTCTTTCTCTAGATTTACTTGTATATGCATTATTAATAATTTTATTACTTACTATTTAAATATTTAGGAAAAAGAGAAAAGTTCCAGTGAATTAAGGCTTTCTAGATATCGCGCTGAAATTGCTGACCAGAACAAAGCACTTGAAGAAGGTATGTATCAATTACTCCTTCTTAACCTTTTATATCCTGTGTCACAGTATAGTACAATATAATATAGTATTTATCTGATCATAAAATATTATTCAAGATCGACAACGTATAAATTCTTTACGTGAAAATATTCGATTACGTCGTGTTGCTTTAGAAGACGCGAGAAGTCGTTATCAAACAGGAAATGATTATTTGGAGGAAAGCCACAAGCTATTGGAACGAGCTCGGTTTGTTTTGTTAGCCTTTACGATTGGGTTTTGAAATTTTTTTTTTATTTGCAGATGGTCGTATTGAATAGGGTTGATGTTCTTAGCGAAGCCCTCTTCGTAACAACTTCTAAACTTTGTGCTCGCCAGAAGGAGCTAGTTGCTGACCTACTCACTATATATCCTATAGAGCAGGTAGATGTTCAATCTTTGTTATCATTGTTATAATCATAGAAAAAACAATTCTTATTTTTTTTTTATACAGGTACAGTCAGAATCCTTCTCTTTCAAAATTCTTGGTGTTCCATTACCAAATTCAGCATTCACAGGTGTTTATAACTACTTATACATTAATGATTTATTTAAATATATAATATTTAAAATATAATTAATTATTAGGATGTGATGAAGATCAAGTTGCTACAGCATTGGGATTTACTTGCCACCTCATTCATATGCTCGCGTATTATCTTGGTGTACCTTTAAGGTTTCCAATGACCCCTATGTCTTCTAAGTCAATAATACGTGATCCAATATCGACGTCTTTATCAACATCAAGACAGTAAGTCAAACTGCTCCAAGTTGATTGATTTCATCTGTATAAAAATGGTTCGTGGTAGCTTGTTTGAACAATGTCTGTAATTATATGAAATTAAGTATAATATCCCATACTCAGGGGTTATGTTACAGAATTTGTAACATCTAGAACACCATTCAAATGGGCCATCAACCGGATCATATTTAATATGTACTCATGGGAAGGTTTTTACTCTAACAATCAACTTGGAGCGCTGTAATTATCTTACTTTCGTTTTAGAATCTATGTTTGACCTGACTATTACTAGTTATAACAGATTTTCTTTTTTTTTTACTTAGATTTCCTTTATACTCTAAAGGTGTCGATCGTTTTCGATTTGAGTATGCTGTGTTTTTACTAAATAAAAATATAGAACAGGTATATTTGTTTGCCGTTTGGTAATTTCAAATAAAAAATTGAAATAGGTTATTTCACCACTTTATTTTTTTTTTAGTTGATGAATTCTCAAGGATTGCTTGTAATGGATTTAAGGCACACACTCCCTAATTTGAAGTACCTTATTCTTAGCTTGATATCACGCAAAGTTGTTCCTTATAATTACAAAAGCGCAAATAAGGTTCGTCTAAAGCCGTGTCAGGTCACGTGAGTATAGGATCAACAATGGGATCACATGGTATATGAAACAATCAATTAGCTGATTGATCATTTGCATATTATACCAGGGCTGACGATTTCCTTTGGTGACAAAATCAAAATTCTATGATTATACGGTGTTATGTGATTATATTTTTGAACATTTCTGTGGTATTTGCCACCATCCAATTATGTGATTAAATTTACATGTAGAACTAAATTTTATATTTAAATTCTTATCCAAAATGTTCCCGAAACTCACCGACTGATATGCTTGTAATTTACGTTCTTTCATCATTTACCGTTCCGAAAATTACTGCTGCAATCCTGAATTATATTTCCGAACATTTGTACATATATTTGGAATTCTATCAACTGGAATTTTTTTTTTTTTTTTTACCTGTTTCTGTATTTATGCCAGCTTATGTATTCTGCAGTATTATGTATGATACAGAAAATCATTGGTCCTGTATTACACAAACCGGCCAATTAAGAAAAATTGAACATTTTTAATAGAGATTGATAGTTTATTTCTACGTAATATCTCGTTTACCAATTTTTTTTCATTCATATAATAAACTTATAGTGTAATACTGACCAATTAATAGGCTTTATTAAATTATTTTGAATAAAATAAGACAAGATATTGTATAATAAATAAATATATACAAGCATATATAATTGAGGCAGGAATTCAAAAAACGATCCCTAATTCTAACTATTTTCATATACTTCACTATAGTGGTATACAAGTCACTCTGGTTATATCGACACCTCAAAAAAAATTTAAATCGTCAGATATATCCAGATGTCGATTTAACTGGAAGTAATTTCATATTAAGTATATAGATTAAAATTTTAAAAAAATGGTATAGCCAGATGTCGATATAACCAGAGTTGACGTGTAATATTTTTGAGGTCCTTTTTTAGAATCCTATCAGGAACAGTACTCAAACAAAATTTTTTTAACTTCAAGATCGGTGCCGACGATTCATCAGGAACGGTAGTTTTGCTAATTTTAGATAATGAGCATAGATATTTGCCACCTAAATCCTAAACTATCATAATTAGGCGTTGTTATTGGAACCTTTATTGAACAAGCAACTCACATAAAAGATTTAATATTGGAGATAAATAGGAATTTTCACCAAGTATTTGCTGAGTTGTCGTCATATGAGTGCTGCCATGTCATCGGGCTTTCAATTATATTTTGTGTTCAGTTTGTTTCCAGAATGCCGTCTAAAAAACATCTATCTTCGTGCTTTTAATTATATTTGTACAAATATAATTGATTAAACCCGATGATAGATTTACCAAGATGGCGTTCTGGAAACAAACTGACAAAAATATAATTTAAAGCCCGACGACAGGTTTTCCCTTGGCAGCACTCATATATTCGAAGTTACGTTGTCCCATCGGTGTAAAAGATCTTAAAAGAATTGAAAGCTCTTCATGGCCTATGTTTCGATACAGAACATTCTTTTCAGTTACTACGGTTCGTATTGCCTACATGGAAAATTATGTAACCCGCCTCCAAGTTTTTTTTTGATTCCGAACCAGGATTAAAAATTGGCAGCATCTAAAGAGACACGCGGTAAAATAGATGACAAAAAGTTTGAGACTTAGTTAAGCGTAAAAAAAAATGCAAAAGATAGCAAAAAAACGCCGTAACCTTTTTATAATTATATAAGTTAATTATAATTAACTTCCAGAAAAGAAGCTCAGTTACGTGGAAGATCCGATAATTAAGAAAAAGACAAATGGACTCCCTAATGAAAAAAACGTATTAACTATATAAAAGTAATAGAAAAAAAACCCAATAATCTATTAGAATCTTGATCACAAAATCTTAAATAGTCGTAAAAATCACACTACCGATTTAGATAAGCACTTAAACTAATGGACAAACGATAAACTTCTTATTTTTCCGACTTGTTCTTATTTTTATTCAGCAAAACAAAAGCTCTAAAAAAAAAAATAAAATAAAAAAAGAGGGAGATTAGCATAAAACTACCAAATAAGACCAATTAACTAAATGAATACAACGGATATATAAAGTTCTCCCGACACTTTATATAACTATATTTCATACTTTCGATGCTAAATATTTCAGATAAATTTCACGATTCGTAGAAATATATCTGAGAATATTGCTGGCACTTTCAGTCTGTTCAACGATTCGTGTAACAAATCCAAAAATGACAGCCTTCGTAACATATCGATAAAATTTCACGATTCGTAGAAATAATATCGAAAAATGGTACGGACCCACGGCATCTTTTGACTTGTTAAGCGAAAACATATTGTACGTACCTAACAAATCAACGTGCCCATGTGAACCTTATTTATAATATTTTAATAATTTCACGATTCGTAGAAATATGCTAAAATATTATGGGCTCATAACAATTCCGGTATATTCAAACGACAGTAGAAACTACGCCATTATGAACCACACCAGAAGTGTTAGGCGAGCAATCGAAACATATGTAATATATAATACTTTTTTTAACAGTATGAGGAAAATACGTAACTGATCCTTCATGCAGGATCAGTAGACCTCAAGTCTGCCAAAAAAAAGTATTAGTTATAACAAATTAACATTAATTGATACTTACTTTTTTATATCGCGTGTTTTGACGTTGATTTCTTATAGAGTCGTGTTTTCAACGTTTATTTCTTATAAAGTCGCGTGTTTCGTCCGTTATTTTTAAAAGATAATGTAATGTTGCTTTAAAAAAAGGTGTATAAATAATACGGGTCAATACAAATAATACGATAATACGAACAAACAAAAGTTGTTAATCTAAAAAAAAACCCAATTCCGAAAATGACACTAATCAATTGATGGTCAAAACTACAGATAGGAACCCAAATAAAGAAATGATGATTCTGATCATGCATATTAGTTCAGCCAATTAAAATCACAAATTTTATCATGTGAAAATATCACATGTTGATTAACCAATCAAATCGTAAATTTTTATAAAATGAAAAGAAACGAAATTTATAGCTAAAAGTTCAAAATAAATGCCGTTAAATGTTACCATTAGGTATTTATTAATTTTTATCAAATTATTAATTTTATTTTTGTCAATAATAGATAATAATAATCTACGTATATATGTTTAATTCTACGTCCAATTCTACGTCTAATTCTATATCTACTCAAATTTCTAATCTCTGCTATCTTACACAACTATCAATATGATATGGTTTTAATACACATCATATATAAACTTCTTATCGTATCTTAAAAACACCTATAGTAATATTAATATATTGCGTAGTTAATTAATATTATTCGTATATACTCAAATTTCTAAAAGATTTCTATACACATGAATAATAAAAAAAATATGCAAAATAATTTTTTACTCCTACACTAACGTTTGTTAATCATTAAGTTTTTTGGAAAAAAATTTGTTTTTCTCAATAAAGGAGATTTTGTTAACGTGATTGTAATTTACTTATAACTTCAGCTGGTAAAACGTAATATGAGAGTGGTGGATTAAGTTGGATTAAGCGAGTATTTTGTAGGGCAGAGTGAAGGTATCAAGTTTACTTAGTGCACTTTATCCTCTTTACTAAGGGGTTAAAGTACCCGAGCTTCCGAAAAAAGTATTGTTAAAAAAAAACATCATTTATTAATCGTGTAACGATCTACAGATCGGGGCACTCCTACCTCGAGATCAAAACGTGACCATTGAATCATCCAATACTGCAATAAGATGAATTTACTTATTTCACGCCCATGAAAGATCGAAAATATGTACCAATCAGATCTTTTCGAATAAACAAACAATTTAATATGCGTAATATTTTAAATATTAAAACCCTCATGCTAGGGTTATGGTAAAGATAACAGTATATAACGATTTGACAAGAAATTTTCTTTCAAACTTTGATTTTCTGAATGATCGACGTCAGTAAAATCACTAGATCAGATTTTTTTTTTGAAAAAAAATTGAAAGGTGCAAAACCGTACGCATGTAATTGAGAATAATGATCTGGTCATTGCCAAATTATGCGTGCAGCAAATCTTAAATTATGCGGACCTAGGGATTAGGGTTAACATTTATACAGTAGTCCAAAACATGGTCTATGAAACCGTCTTTTACATATTATAAAAAATTTCTTTGTGAAATAATATCTTCGAACCCTGACAAAATGGCAAGTTCATGTTCCTAACCCAAAAGTAATTCTACACATGTCAAAAATTATAAGCACGAAAGTAGTTTGCATATAATCTTTATGCCAATGCTATAACTTTACTAAATTTAAGGCTGTTTGATTTTAAAAATGCATGACAGTTTGGTCAGCATTATTCACATGATCCTACCAATATTCCATGTAGCTTAGTCTGTGTAACTCCAATTGACCAATAGAAACTTCTTCAAACATGAGAATATTGTTAACCCCTATTATGCGATATTAATGTGCTAAGAAGCTGATAATGCTAACGATGCTAAAGATGCTAACGAGCTTATAGCGCTGACAATGCTAATAGCATAAATAGCTTTATAAGCTTTATTGAACATTTGTAAAATTAATAGCTTTAATTAACACAGATAATATTCTTTTGTAGTTTGGTTTTTTTAGTTGTTGTTTAATATTTTTTATTTTATTTTATTTTTTAACTTGGCAGTAATTGTTAATTTTTATTCAATCCTAATAGATAAAGAAGGTCTTTATACATATTTTTTACAAAGTTATTTTATTATCTAATCTAGACTATATAACCTAACACCTTCTGCAACTATCTCTAATAGTGTTTATAGAATGTGGATCCCATAGCTTAGTGGTTAAGCTCCCATACTCTTCACAGTCAAGGTCAACAGTTCAAGTCCGGCTGGAGGCAAAATTGAAAGATTTTAGCTTCTGTAACCTAATAAGGAGCCTGTAATTAAACACGAAGCCCTGTGGTTAAAAGTTCAAGTGCAGTACAATGATAGAAATAGAAATTCCCAGAAGAAGACCTAATTGTAAAATGGAGGCATTATGCATAACAAGTAGTTGTTACAGAAGATTACAGTTATGGAAGGATTGTGCATGTAAGTCCTTTAGGCTAGAGCAACATCAACATCCTTATATTTCTCAATATAGACAGTACCAACATCTCTGTACCCAACTTGTGAGATACTTGCTTGGAAGGATAATCAACAGATTGTACAAATAAGTCTTAATTAGAGAATGGTAAGAGAAGCAGTGAACACGAGAATGAATTGTGATAAAGAATTGATCTAATCAAAATTGGAAGCACCTCTGGCACAGCTAAATAATCTAATTATAGAAGGGAAGATCTTGGAGGTAGGCAAATAACTTCCTTGTGCAATATAAAAGTACTAAATTGGGTTCTGGTCATACTTATATGGAAGTCTATGATGAACAAGACTAAGAATCAACCAACCAATATGAAATAAGATCTGCAAGGTAGTATGGCATCACTGGGGTCAGTGTAACTTCCTGGGCATAACCAGAATTGTCCTGCAAGTATTGTCGAATAAGCTGGGAGCTTGCAATACATGGTAGTATAGTATTACTAGAGTTGAAAGAATTCTCTAGATATAACCAGAATTGTCTTGTTTGTAAGTGCAACAAGTCCTAGTCTCTGCTATAAAAGGAAACACTATGTTGGAGGTTAAATGCAGCATTAAGTTACTGTATGACATTAAGACCTGGGGCATCTGCAAGAATGGTGTCAGCAAGTTTGGTTTGAGATATGGATTAGTCAAAAGACCAATGGCAGCAGCAAATCTGGTTTAAGATACAGGTTTATTACAGATCCTAGACCATTGTCAGAACACCTTAGGGGAATCAATAATAGGCAAACCAAAGATGAGAAGATCATAAGAATCAGACATACCTGAGTAGAACCAATTTGGAAGTGATATAGTGACGAAAAGATGGGAAATGTGGAGAACAAATTAATATTAGATATAATTAGATTAAAAGACAAAAGAAACAAAACTAGATAAAACATGTGAGTGGAACATATGGGTACAATTTACAGAAGATAGTACCTTGACATTTGGGATGCCGCATTAAGTTTGGTAGGTATTCTTGTCTATGTAATGGTTTAATATATACCATAACTGCAAGTGGTTACCAAGGTAACTGCGTGCAGACATGTGGTAAGCATGTACTTAGATGCCAAAAAGAGTAACTGGGTAAAGTCAATAGTATTAAATTAGATAGTATATAGTACTAGTAATAATCAATCCTAAAAATGTAACCATAAATTTGTACTATATCAAATTAA